AAGGCAAAAATTAATGGATTTGGGCTCTATCAAAACTAAAATTTTCTGAAAGTAACCACTGACAGATGGCAGAATGAGATTAATATCTAAAATATACAAGAAACATCTGCAAATCAATACATTACAAAAACAGACTAAAGCTGGTCAAAGACACTGTAACAACTAACAAATATATTAAAAGACACTCAAATTCCCTAATAAATTCACATTTAAACAATGAGATGCCACTTTATAACCATCAAATATTGGTAAAATTAGGAAGATTTTACCAACCATTAGCAAGGATGGGGGGAACCAGGAACCCTCACACACTGATATGGGAGTGTCAACCAAATCAGCAGCACTGGAGGATAATTTGGCAGTGTCTAGTAAACAGAGTTGTGCTGGTTCTCTTTTACCCAGCCATGCCCCTCCTGGGTATATACCCTTAGAGCAGTGGTTCTCAAACATTCCCATGCATTAGAATCTCCAGGCCGGGCATGTTAAAATACGTTGACGTAGTCTGCCTCCAGGGTTTCTGATTCAGGAGGTTTAGGTTGGGACCTGAGAATCTGCATTTCTAACAGTTCCCAAGTGATGCTGATGCTTCTGGGTGTGGACCACTCTGAGAGCCACTACTCTAGAGATATTCTCACACCCACCAGTAAAAGAATGTTACAGAATGTTCATCACAACTTTGCTCGTAGTAAGTAAAAGTAGTGGGTGCGCAGCAAGCCAGCAGTACTAGCAGCAGTCACAGCAGTGTACTAGATGAATCTGCACTAATACAGGTCTCAGAAGTAAAATGTTGAATAAAAGTCTTTCAACTTTCATGAATGTCTTAAAATTTCCATAATAAAAAGTTTTAAGTTGAATGAAAAAGAAACCAAATGAAATCTATAGCACAGTACCACTCATGTAATTGAAAGCACGCACAAAATAACATGGCATCCTTAACAAAGATACAGACATACCCAAGAACATATTCAACAGAGGAGAGGGGGCGCCTCTGAAGGAGAGGAGAATGTGGGTGGGGAAAAGAAAAAAGAGGAAAAAAAAAAAAACAAGAAAGAGGCATTGCATAGGAAGAGGATCTTATGCCAAAAACTGAGTAATGTTAACTCAACCCTCAGCACCAGAGCTCTAAAAGGTAAAAACCATCAAAGCTATCTCTAAACACCCACTCTACTGTATTTACATACAATGTTACTTCAGTTAAAGCGTAGCAGCTTTGCAGGGTAAGGGGGGCAGATCAGCTGCCTGAGGGGGAAGGGGGATCTTTCTGAAATACCAGTTAGGGGTGATTTCAGGTCCCCAGAATCCAACCTGCTACTGAGCTCTGAATTTCCCTTCTTTGGCATATTAGTATTTAAAAAGAAGCTGGAGATCTTGGCTTTTGGCAAAGGAAGTGTGTGTCTACATCTGTGTCTATGTCTCTTTTTGGTGTTTGTCTGTGGATCCATGGGTGTCTATGTGTGCGCGATGTGTTTACTTGTGCAGGTAAAGAGGAATGTGGAGGGCAGCAGAGCACTTAAGTGGACAATGAGCCACACTTGTTGATTAGCCACTCAGTTCCATTTTACTGAAACCAGAAGTCTGTTACAAAACCAAGTTATCTTCCTGTCCCCACTAGCCCGTCCCCTTTCTTCACCTTCCCATCTCCCACATCCTGGACTGATCTGAAACGCTGTCCTCCGGTGATTTCGTAGCTTATTAAAGTTACACGCTTTATAAACAAAATTCTCGGAATGTGATAAAAGATGATAAATGACCATTTATATTCCTGGGTCTTTATGGGAAACTTCAAAATCCTTAATACCAGGCATGCCATGACAAGTCTTCCAGAAGAGACTGCTGTGGCTATAGCTACCACTCAAAAAAGGCAAAGAAAAAGCCATCTATAATCTGTCATATCCCCACAAGGGCACACTGGCCACAGCTTCTTCCAAGGACCATCAAACAGTCTACCATAAGAAGTGATAGGAAAATGTATGGAAATCGGAAAAGAAAAAGAAATCAGAAAAGAAAAATTCTCACTGAATGAATTTATGTGAGAAAGTGCAACAGATCTTTCTGGCAGCAACACTAAGTAAGCCAAGCCCATGCCTGGAAAGTGTCTTCAGGGGAAGAAGAAACAGCTGGACATCTGAAGGAAGAAGCAGACCGGCTAAGGTAAAATGCAGAGGAAGGAACTGGCCAAACACTCACGCCTCCCCCCAAAGACTGGGGTGATTATCCCCCCGTTCAAACAATCCAGAATTTTTATTCCCAAAACATTATTTTGTCTTTTCTACAGCAGTACTTCTCACTGTATGATAAAGCTTTGGGAATTCTAGAGTTTCCTGAAATGCTTTGTATCAAAATCAAGTTTTGATATTTGATATGCAGAAGGTGCACTTTTTAGTTTAAAAAAAATGTATGACAGCTATATGTATGAATCCTTTAGATTTTTCTAAGATATGTCAGCAAAGCACATCTGTCTTTCCAGCTAAAGTGCAGGATCTGTGATAATTTGAAAATTAAAGGACTTAACTATGGGGGAGAAAAAAGGGTTGAGTTTTCAAGCTAAAATTAAATGTTTCTAGTCAACACAGGCAATTCTAACTTGTAAAAACATACAAGGTTATTTAAGTGTCAAAACTTACTGCCAAGCTTCTATTACAGAAACATTTTAAAATTTCAGTTGAATAAGCAACTTTCAAATATTTACAAGTGAGGTACTGTGCAGGATGCTAGGTATCCTCAAATGAATAAGACACTTTTAATAACTGTGTCCCTTTAATGTCAATTTAATCCATCCCTTGAATTAGTTTATTTAAAATATATATATGCTTTCTCCTATTTGAAATAGCTCACTACCAGCACTGAAGAGCTGCAAAAACGAAAAATATGCATAGTTTAAAAAGCAATGAAGAAATCCAAAAGACCAGGGCCTCCAGACCTAAACAGAAAGCAAGATAAAGAAAGTGAGCTGCTACAGGCAGAAGGCAGCCAGCTCCTGGAGGTTCCCCCAAAGCTGGAGCCTCCAAAAACAGGCACAAGCTGCTGCTGCTGCTGCTGCTGCTGCTGCTGCTGCTGCTGCTGCTGCTGCTGCTGCTGCTGCTGCTGCTGCTGCTGCTGCTGCTGCTGCTGCTGCTGCTGCTGCTGCTGCTGCTGCTGCTGCTGCTGCTGCTGCTGCTGCTGCTGCTGCTGCTGCTGCTGCTGCTGCTGCTGCTGCTGAAGCTGCTGCTGCTGCTGCTGCTGCTGCTGCTGCTGCTGCTGGCATGCTTGGTTAAGGCATGGCTTCAGAACTGGAAGACTGCCACCTGCTGAATCACCAAACATCCCTGGGCTTCCCTTGGAGCACTGACCAGATAGGGACCCATCCCCCACCTGTCTTCTCCTGTGGACATCTTACACCCGGAGAAAATAAACACTCGTCCGCACAGGCCAAAATAGCCGCCAACCCTGTTACGCCCCGGCGGCACATCCCGTTGCTACGTCACTAGGCCCACTCCTCTCTTTCTGCCCACTCGGTCCCCCCTGAATGTTCAACCCCCAGTGTCAGGAAGCGTGGGGAGTTCACAGCACACCATGACAAGCACTTAACACTTCCACATCCAGACAGCCAACCAAAAACACCTCCAAATCTGAAAGCAAAATAACCTGTCCTAACAGCTTTAAGGTAAATGTCAAGGAAGCTAAAATAGTAGGCAGACCCAATAACAGAAAATAAACTTCCCTTTCAGAGAGCAGCTTTTACTCTTAGTTTCATAAGCATATACCGCTGAAGTCTGTACTGTTTGAAGGTGAAAAGAAACATTTGAGGAGCACCTAAATGGATGCTCTTCATTCCCTCCAGCCATGGCAACTCTTGTCCTGATATTTACTCGCGACTCCCAAGAGGGAAACAAGCGTTAACCAGAACGCGCCAGACTGAATCCGTTACCTGGACTAGGACATCTACTCGGACAAACAGAAGAAGCTGCAAACCCGAGTCTGGGTTAAGACCGTGGGAGACACAGCCGCTGCTGCCCTTGGCAAGTAGCCTCGGGATCACGAAGACCTCTCACTCACGAGGAGAGCCGCGTCCAGGATAGACTGTCCAGTTCCACGCTGCGCCCATGGCTCCTGCAGGCCTTACCCCTAAACACCCTCATCCAGGAGAGGCAGCCCCGCGGGATCTCAAAGAGCCTCTCTTTACCTGGAGACTGTTTTGCATCCTGGGATGAGAGCTCGCTCCTCTGGGAAGGGGGTCCCACCTGCTATGTTGTCGGGGAGCAGAGGGGATAGAGGAGCCACGGCGGATGGGGTCGTGGGGGGGATCCCGAAACCCTAGACGCCTGGCCGGCTGCCATCTGGCCCCGAGATGCCAACTGTCACGCCGCCGCCCAGGGAGTGGGGGTGGGGCCGTGAATTGGGGTCGGTTCCTACGGGTCTCAGGACACCGGACCGGTCACTGCCCGAAGGCGACTCGTCTCTTGCTTCTTTGGCCCAGTCATCGTCCGCTCGTCCCAGTCTGACACTAGATAGCCTTCCAGCCCGCATGAAGCACCTCTGAAAAGGTGCCCAATGACGCCCCCGCCATGCCACCCCAACTTGGTCCAGGAGCCCCGCGGGCGGCCCGCCCCCTCGAAGCCCAACCACTGGACCGCCCCCTGCGCCTACACCCCAGGAGTGGTGGCGCGGGGGGAGTGCCCGCCAGGTACGCACGCGACACCGCGCGGGCTGCGCTCACGCCCCCTCGCCCCGGGGCGGCCCGCACTCCGCTCCTCGGCCTCAGGCCAAGCCCGTAAGGAAGGTGTCTTATTGGCCCCCGGAGATCGGTTTTCTCCCCCAGCCCCAAGACTCACTTGCACCGCAGTCGCGACAGCCGCCGGAATTCCGCCCGCCGAGCCCCTCGCCGCGGAATGAAATCCGGGGCAGGACAGCGTCGGAGCTCCGCACCAGATCGCGCTCTCCAGCCGGCTGGCGGGGCGCAAGCAGCCTTTCCTGGCCGGCCTTCCCCGCTCCCGTCCTGCCTGCCGCCGCCGCCGCCGCCGCCGCCGCCGCCCCGGCCGCTGCCTCCCTGGTGCGAACGCTTCCGACTTGCCACTGTGAGCCTCCCGGGCTGCGGAGCATGCCCAGTCCGCTGCCCGACCCGGCCCGGCTTCCCGCGCGACGCGAATCCGCTCCTCCGGGTATTCACAGCGGCCGGGAGGGCGGGGCGGGTGGGCGGTGTCCTCTGGGGGCCCTTCCCGGGACCGCGGGCAAACCCGGCGGGTTATGCACCAAGGGGCCGCTGAGTTTGGGCCCTTTTTATTTTACTTTTAAGTACCTGGAAGCTCGGAAGGCGATTGTTTTCCCCAACAAGGAGAAATGCCTCGCTTGCACATTTTTAGTGTGCCGTTTATTGAGGTCGGACAGGAGCCAAGTATTGTGGTCAGAAGCAGGCTACGACTTGGGGCGAAGCCAGAGTTAGGGAGCTGGAGCTGATCAGAACAAGGAACGCAAACTCGGCCTTCTGGAGTCGGGCTCTGGGGCAGGGTTTGCGAGCTAGCGGAGGCTTCTCTTCACCGAGTTTAAAAGCTGCAACACTTGTGATTAACTCCTGATTGATCGATCATTAAATAGGGGCGGACCTAGGCCTCTACAGACCATTTTCAAACCTCTTTCCACAGTCCTCCATATCAAAAGCAAAACAGCCGCCTGCGGTGCCACCGCAGCGAAGCCAATCAGAGCCGGGAAGGCCAGACCAGCTGTAACGACTGCGGGAGAGACTCACACCGCGTGAGGGCCGTTCCGCTGGTGGGGCCCCACCTCACACCCGCCCCTCCGAGTTGCGGGGAAAACCCGGAGAGGGATCGCGCTTGAAAGGAAACACTGCGCATGCCCAGTATTCTGAGCTGGTGCAGGTTGCCCGAAGGAAGGTTTTCCTCGACTCCCTGAGCCGGACTCCTGCACCCGGGTTAGGTGCGGACAGCCGGGAGAGCTGGCCTCCCGACGCGGCGCCCTCCCTTTCTGGACCGTCCGCGCGGCACCCCGGTGGCGGAGAGGCAGCCCGAGGCTACGCCTCGGGTGGGGACGGAGATTCGACCAGCGGGGGAGGGGTCGCGGGGCGGTATCGCAGTGACACGTGACTGTCCGCGGCGCTTCGGGCAGCCATCTTCTGCTGGGCCACCGGGCCGCGGGCGATCGGAGCGCCCTTTTCCCCGCCACGCCCTCCCATAAGGCTCTACCCTCCGCTTCACACCTGCCTGGGGCGCCGCAATCGTTGCACTGGGGCTAGGATTGCCGGGAGGACAGGCTCTTGCGGGGCAAAAAGCAAGAGCTGCGAGAAGCAGAGGGCAGCTCCGGGGGCGGATGGCGTCTTCTTTTACCCAGAGGGGTCTCTTTTCCTAAAGCAAGAAGACCGCTGCTCCAGCCGCCTCCTCGTTCTATTTCCTGCAGAAGAGGCGTGATGTGTTGGCAGAAGCATCTGGACAGAGTCCGTCGCTCTTCCCTGCAGTGCAATATCCCACAGCCCTTTCCGGTGGGCAGCTTGGATGGTGATATTAATAATGATTACTTACGGAGCTCCTGAAACAATCCACTCTTTATTAGAAACTTTCTTTTCCCATCCCCTTCTGCCTATAAAAGCCTTCCATTTTGTAGAGTTCCTCAGAGTTCCTATTTGCTACATGGGATGCTACTTGATTATGAATTGTTGAATAAAGCCAGTTTGATCTTTCAATTTACTCCATTGAATTTTGTTTTTTAACAGATTTGGTGGCAGTGGTGGGATCCAAAGCAAACTTCTGACAGCATTTGGGGATAATGAGAAACACAGGTATAGCACTCACAAATCCCTTTTGAATTCTCTTTCTCACCATTTCCAAGAGCCGTGGATTAGTTCCTCTCAGTTCCAAGCCCTGCTCTCTTGCATCAAATTCCCAATCTAATTGACTTTCCAATACAGGGCAAGTCAGCTTGAGCTGGCAGACAGTTCCGCCCAGAGTCCAAACCCCTAGCCTTTATTTTAGTCCACAATTCTCATTTAATTGGTGGAAACCTCAAACCCTTGATTCTGTTCCAAGATCCCCATGGGAACTGTTAATGGTCCTTTGCAGTGCCCCATTTATGTGGAGCCCCCTGTCAATACTCCCCATTTGTTAAGATCTGCTGGTTCAATCCTTTCCCCAGTCCACTAATCCACAGTGGGAATTGGTGGTGGTGTGCACAGGACCTTCTCTTGACCAGGACACAGTAACATCCCTTGGTTATTGTTGACATTAAGGTGAACATGTTTTGTCTTATTTTGTGTAGATAAAGGCTATCGCTAATGGGAATCTCAGGAGCAACCACAAAATTGATGGGCACCGGTTGAGCATTTAAGAGCTGTTAGACCTCCCTCAAAGGCTCTCATGTTAGGATAAATTGGCCATGGAATATATTAGAATGACACTAGGTCACCCACAAACCTCAGGAAAATTCTTGTGCAATGAGGTACACTGTGAAACACCACACAATCTCAAAACTAGAGGCATATATTCACACAGGTATTATTTGGGCTCCGATAGACCCAAAAGCTTAGCTAAAATAAATAAACTAATTAAATGGGATCCTTAAAATCTAAGGAGTTAAGCACACCACCTTCCGGCACACCTGCTTATTTTATGTCTAAGAACTGCATTCCTGGAAGCTATAAATATCTAGCAAAAGGGCAAAATCTTATTAAAAACAACCTATGATTACAGTGGCCATTATGGGGAACATTCCAGTTAGATAAGATCATTTAAGAAGTACACCTAAAGGCTTCCAGATCAAACAGAATGGCGTACCTCTTTTAATGGTATTGCAGAAAGCTCCATAAGGCTTCAAAATTTCAAAATAGTTCATTGAAAGATTTATTGTAAAAGGCTAATGAAAAATTAAAGGGATACCTAAAACAATGACTATAAAACTGACAACTCCTACTGTTCCCCTCTGTCCATAGTTATATGAGTCCTCATTCTAGTAATCCTCTGTCTGAATTGCCTTTTCACTCTGAAAAAAAACTATCAAGTAGTTACTTTTTAAAATAAGACCATCCGAGATGCTTCTTCAAGTATCTTTCATTCCTTGGTCAAAGGACAAACTAGGGGCTATAGTTAAAAATTTTTTCCTAAACTCTGGGAGTATTCTCAAACATTTCTATAAATGGATTACTTCCTCAGATTAATGGATTGCTAAAAAGGCAGAAAACAGGTTGGGAGGTCACCATTCTGAATGAACTCACGATCATAGTTGAGCACTTTGAAAGGACTTTAGAACAAGACTGTAAACAAAGTCCACCAAGTTAGGTCCTTACAGAGACCCCCATATCAACCCTCAAAGGAGGACCCCCATATGGGCCACTCACAGAGTTGAGGAGACCCTGATGGATTTTCTGGTTAACTTCCACATTATTCCCTTTAATAGCCAAGGGGAAACTAAAATGCAAATTAATGAAAAACCTGGCCAAATTCTCTTAGTTTCCAGAGCTACATCCTCTACTTTAAACCCCACTTGGAGCCTGCAGATAAGATCCTGGGAAAACTGGAAGAAGCCAGCTAAATGTGAGAATTCTTACCAGAGTCATCTCTCCCAAATGTCTATAATATCCAACAGAGATAGGGGAAATTAAAATATTTTTTGTACCCTCTTTGGGTACACTTATTGAGTACAAGAGATTGTTCAATACTGCCCAAAATATTTACAGCTTGCCTGGCTGAAACCTGGCAAGATATCTGAAAGGCTTTAACAACTTGATAACCAGAAAGTTGCCCAAATTTGGAAGCTTATATATTGAGCCTAACAGAAATTTTCGTAGGCCTCCTCCCGTAAGCTAAATGTACTCAGAGGAAAAGAAAAACCTTCTAAAGCCCACTTAAAAAAAATTTATGAGTAAATAACCTATGATATCACTTAGGTTGCAAACCAATTATTTGAGGAATTAAAAGCAACTGTTCTTATCTAACAAATCTTTGCAAAACCAGAAATGCAGTTCCAGACACAGCTTAAAGTCCACCTATTCCTTTTACCAATCCCCAAACCTCTCCTATTTTTCTCAAGGCTTGTAAGTATTGTGAAAATTTCAGCCTTAGGAAACCAAAGTCCTTATTGGAAGAACTTGCATTCTTTCCCTGTGCCTTTGAAATGTAAGTGTTCTACAAACTTCAAGGAGGTAATTCTTATCAGAAGGAGAATGAAAGGGAGAGAGATCATTTGAAATTTAGGTGAATGGTAAAATCATGTGTTTTCTACACAAATATTGGTAAAACGCTTTAGCCAGTGGAGCAGGTAAACTTAACTTATTCCAACTGCCAAAAGAAAATTTGGATCCAACTGTTCTTTTATAAACTAGTGAGTTTTGTATTATTGTATAAATGACTAAAATTTTAGAATGAAAGCAATAAGGTTTCTGTCTGCATCTGACTATCTTATTTTGTATATATATAATGTAAATGTATGTTATTTTTCTACCTCTGGATGGTATTGCCAAAATTAATTTGTAAAAGAGCTCTGTTTAATTGGTATAAAGAAAACTAAGTGCTTATATAAATTAAACTTTCAGAAATATAATAGAAACTAAGCCATATGTTTTTCAAGTTTATATGATCTAAAATAATCTTTAGTAAATAAAAGCTAGTTTAAGTTTGTTTAATCAAAGTAGATAACATCTTCAGAGTTATCAGCATTAAAATGCACATACACAAAATTTTTGTTCTGTCTAGGTTTACTAAAAGTCCAGTAAGTTTATCTTATCTCTGTTATAAAATTTGTCAACAAGAAAAATATCTTGCAGTGATGGTTGACTTTGTTTAATATCATATGCAGCTTTTGTGACTAATATAAACATAATTGTTAGGAAAAGTAAATTAAACAGATGTAAGTAGAATAAAAGGTTTTTAGGTGAAGTTTTCAAATAGTTTCCTCAAATATTTTTGGTAACCTTAATTAAAGCATTAAAGTTTTGCCGAGTTAAGTTAAATGATAGAAATTCACCAAATATCTAGAGGTCTAAATGAAATAAAATACTGAAACATTAATTATTGAATATAGGTTTATCTACTTTTGACTTCTTGTTGCCAAGAAGTTTAAGAGATTTAGTTTTGTTAGTAAAAATATCTTGTACCACAATGAAAAATTTAATGTGAAAAACATGTTTCTAAAATATATACATATAATGTATTTTAAAATGTGTTGATCAAGTGAATATCAAAAGCAAGCTGGTACAAAATTAGAATTTGGTTTTCTCTCTGTTAAAAAGACAAAGTTTTTTGGACTACTGGTCCACTCTAGATAAGACTGTAAAACTTTCTGTTTTGTTTTTTTTTTGCCTTTGAAAATAATCTTCCTAGAAAATGAAGATTCTGTATTTTGTCAAAATTTGTTGTGTTGTCTTTATCAGGTGTTTGACTGCTTAAGAAAGCTGAATTTTCTTTATTAAAAAAGCTAAGGGTTTTTCTTACAGCTGTTAACTTTCTGCATTTGCCTGCAAACTCTTTGTCACTATGGTTAAATTAACGACTAAGTACCGTTTCACAGTGACCTATGATCCTATCTGACCAAATGTTTTTAAACCTTTTGATGTTTTTGACAAACTTTATCAAATCAAATTTTAAATAAAGTCTTTTTGACATCAAATTAACTTTGGAATTTTCTGGAGTGCTCCTGGAACATCTTAAAAGATTTGTTCTCCTTATTAAAAAAAAAAAAGAGAGAGAGAGATGTTAAGCTAATTAGGCTTATTTGATATGTTAAGTTACATGAGAAACATTGTTATACAAGAAGTAATACTAAGCTCTCCTTCTGTTGTATTTGTATAGGTATATAAGTGTTCCAGAAATTGTATGAAATCTTTAAAGTTTGATATGTCCTGGGATAGTGTTATCATCATAATTCCAATAATTATTTTTAAATGTTGTGTGTCACAGAAATAACCTAATTTCCTTGTCAATTCCATTATAATGAACTCCCATATCTTTAACAGTGAGCATCTTTAAGTCTTTTCAGAGGCAGTTATTATTTTACTCTAATGCTTTTACAAAAACGTTCAGGCAAAAGTACTTCCTTCTTCAAGGAGATTCATGGAAATAATTTTGACAAATATGAGTTTCTGATAACTTTAAGATCATGAAACTGAACTGAGTAAAAATGTCTGGAACTAGTGAAAAACTGCATTCAAGCAATAACAAGAATTAATTACATGGGACTGAATGAACTAAGCAGGATGATTATAATTTTTATGACGTCTTCTTTGAAATATTGCTGGCTCTTTAATGGTTTTATTTATTTATTTTTTTTTTGAGGAAACTTTTTCTCTTAAGTTATGTATGACTTACAACAACTTGGTAAAGTTTACCTTTGTAAACAAAAATGAAATATTTACTTTTTCTCCCTACCAGATCCCACCAGAATTTAGAAACTCTTAAGTATTTTTTTTCATAGCGATGTAATTATTTGCATAAGTTCAATGATAATCTGTTCTTTTTGTAACAAGACACAATTCAAAATATTGGCTTTATGATCAATGCCTTGACTAGACATATTTGAGAGAGATCTGTGTAGACTCAGATATGACTAGACAGTTTGAAGAAACTAAGGTTGACTTAATGGAGCCAATAAAGCCCCTTGGAAAAATCAGCCTGTACCTTGCTTACAAAGTTCTAGCAAAACAATCTTTTAAAAAGCTTATATGGTCAATCACTATTCGTGCTGCACTTAGGTAAATAAT